TATTATTATTATTCTCAGATTGTAAACAATTTCACGTTGAGCGTTGACTCCTTCTTCGTCCTGGGAGGCCTGCTGGTCGCCTTCAACTTACTGGAGGAACTTGAGAAAAGGGGAGGCAAGAAAAACTGGTTTTTCTTCGTCCTGCACAGATATCTCCGGATTACCCCTCTTTACATGGCTGCCTTGGTGATGGACACTTTCGTGGCGCCCCATCTGACAGACGGCCCTTTGCGGACAGCCATAAACGAAAACGCCTGCAGGTTTACCTGGTGGGCTAACCTGTTCTACGTAAATAACCTCGCGCCCAATCTCAATGGCTGTATGGGCTGGTGCTGGTACCTCGCCACCGACATGCAGTGTTACCTCCTCAGTCCTCTGATCATCGTCCCTCTGTTCCGGAGACCTGTTCTCGGCTACATCATCGCGGCGTTCTTCTTCGTGGCGACCTCCGTGATCCCCTTCGTTCTCACCGTCGTCTACCGGTATGGCACGGATGTGACCTTTGTGGAGGGTCACACCGAACCTTTGAACAAGTTCCGAGATAATCTGTACTACTTCCCGGTCTTCTCCCGGATGGGTCCTTACGTTGTCGGGATCATGCTGGGCTTCTTGCTGTTCAAGCAGAAGGGGAAGCAGCAGACGATCCCACGAGTTGTCAACGCGTGTGGGTGGGCAGTGGCTACGGCTCTGGCTCTAGCGGTGCTTTACGGACAACACAGCTACGTCAAGCGAGGATACAAAGAGGGCATAAATCTCTACCTGGCCGGGGCTTACAACGGCTTGGCTAGATCCACATGGGGAATCTGTCTCGCTTGGCTCATCTACAATTGTCACCATGGATACGGGGGACCAGTGAACAAATTCCTGTCCTGGCGGGCGTGGCTACCTCTGGGTCGCTTGTCCTTCTGTGTCTACGTGATGCACGTTGTGGTGCTGAAGACAGACGCGGCCAGCGCCCAAAGCCTGCCGTTTGTGAGCACCTCGTATTTCATCAGTATCTTCTCTACTATGACCTTGGTGACCTTCCTCTTGTCTGCCGGCATGTACGTCTGCTACGAGCTGCCCATACCAAATATGGAGCGGGTACTTCTTCGGCGATTCGCAAAGAATGCTAAGACTTGAAAGAAGAGAACGTGGACTCTTCTTCCCTTCACCCAACCCCCCTTCCAATCGCATACTTACATCACATCCCTATACTCCCACTCCTTTTCCCATTATCACTTCCTGAGCACACGTCTCTCCCTCCCCTACTAACCACATCAGTGTTGTGACACACATAGACCTCCCCATTCAAGAATCGTTTGTGGGCAAAGGTAAAGAGCCGGTCAAATAGACCACAGACGTCATTCGAAGGATCTTGGTTTGTTGACGACATAGATCTCGTGGTTTGTTTTAAAACAAGCAAGTAATCGATAAGAGTAGGCTTCAGCCGCTACCCTGGCGACACTCAAAATTTACTACAAACCGAAAATGTTTGGTGTGTCTTACGCGCTCACATGACCTTATGCAGTTGCGAGCGTCGTAAAACACTTACACCCCAAAAAAACAACAACAAAACAACAACAACCAACAAAAAACAACAAAAAACAACAACAACAAAAAAAACCCACGCTGTACTGTGTTTCTCCTCAACACATGTAGCTCACATGTAAACGTGTACCCTCATTATTATTCATATTATCAAACGTATAAAACCGTCTTTTATTTTGATGAGAATCAGTCAACGAACTATATCACACAGCACCCCTGGTCGCAGGACAGAATCTTACCTAGGTGTATGTATTATGAATAATTATTTTGTATATTATGTCTCTCCAACTCTTTGTCTCATCTATGTCTCTATTTCTATTTCTCTCTTCCTCTCTTTCTCTCTCCCTCTCTCTTTCTCTCTTGCTCTGTCTGTCTGTCTGTCTGTCTGTCTGTCTGTCTGTCTGTCTGTCTGTCTGTCT